ATCAAACTTTGGTATATTTCATTGACATATGTTTTATCTGCTTTATTTTCAAGGCTAACGTTTAAGTCTGTTATTTCAGAAGATGTATGTGTATGTCCAACGTCACTTTTCCTGTTTAAGGTTTCTTGTAAGTTTGTAATATTTGCAATGGTATGTGTATGTCCAACGTCACTTTTCCTGTTTAAGGTTTCTTGTAAGTTTGTAATATTTGCAATGGTATGTGTATGTCCAACGTCACTTTTCCTGTTTAAGGTTTCTTGTAAGTTTGTAATATCAGATATAGAATGTGTATGAGTCTTATCTGCTTTTGTCTCTAATGTTTCCTTAAGACTTGGTTTTTGGTTAATATAATGTATATGAGTCTTTTTAGAATATTCGTTTTCAGCTCTTGTCACTTCACTTGACATTTTATTGTCAACATATGTTTTGTCTGCTAGTTCAGGATGAGTATGTTCTTTTGTTGCATAAGCATTGTTAGCTCTTTCTTCTTCTTTTGCTATTGCATCGTCTACATATTCTTTGTCAGCTTTGTTGTCAACATCTGCTTTCAAAAGAAGTTCATTTATAGGTTTCTCGTTTAAAGTTCCTTTTGTTGGATTTATACAGACAGTATTGTTCTTATTGTCTTGAAATAGAAACTCATCTGTTATAAGGTTTAATGTCAGTTTTAAGTTTCCATCCTTTAAAGTTTCAGATATCTTAGAATAGTTTGAAAAGTTTGTTGTGTTCTTATTTAGAGCTTGCATAATGAGTTGTCGGTTGTGTTGTATTTCTCGCATAGACGCTGTTTCATTTGACATTTTTATTATAGATAAAATATGCTTCCAATAGAAAAAGAAAATTCTAGAGTTGCTACAACTAAACCATTAGATGAACTTTTTACTAATGTCGGTCAAAAGTTTGAGACAGATACCGTAAAGCATGAAGGCTATCGTTTTGACTACCCATTAAGATGGCTAAGAGACCCATCTGTCACAAAAGCTATTGGCTTTCGAAGAATAAAGTTCATTTCAGAAGCCATACATGGTTTCCCATTTACGGTCGGTTTTGAAGTTCGATACTATAACAAAGAAAAACGTATATATGAGAAATTTGAACAGGGAAAACTTTTACAAGTTAGTTTGCTTATAAATTTAGAAACAACTCTTCAAGCTTTTCAAGAAAAAATAAACGATATCTATATCGAATATGCAAACCAGTATAACATTGACGAAGGAGAATACCATCTCGATATTATTTATGACAGGAAAAATGCAACTGTTAAAATCAATAAAATAGAAGACCTTGGAGAAAACGTTTATATTTCTACAAAATATAACAACTTGGCATGGTATAGATTTATGAGGATGTTAAATCAGCCTGCAGCATATCCAGTACACCCGGACTATTATGAAGTCGAAAACCCTAATGGAACATATGAAAATATTTTCGACCAAGATGCTATTATTGTTCATGCTTCATTTTCTGGCGCCCAAAACTCTTTCTTATGCTTGGCAAATGACTTTTACGAAAAACCTACAAAGTTATATGAACCGCCGAGTGGAAGTATTTCAGACTTTCAAGTATGGTTTACTACAGATGGAAGAAAAAGAATAATTCCATTATACCATGCGTTTTACTTAGAACTTAGTTTCATATACAACTACTATCGAACGATAAAAATATAATTTTTTAATACGGTTGAGGTGTTGGATTTGGTTGCCAACTAGACTGTGGTGCAGGTTCAGGCTGTTGTATAACAGGAGCTTGTTCTTCTGGTTCAGGGTCTTTAGGTATAATACCAACGAACTGACCTACTCTTTTACCAATATTTTTGACTCCGTTCCAAATTCCTCTTCCTACGGTTTTTATTCCATTCCATATACCTCTTCCAACTCTTCTGAAGAAGTTTCCAATACTACTGAAGAAACCCATTTTACTATATGTAAAAATCTAATATCCGCCTAGTCTCTTACGTTTCCTGTTGAGTTCCATAGCATTCTTTAACTGGAGCTCATACATTCTGTTTCTCCTCTGGTAGAAAACATATTCTGGGTCAACTCCTGTGTTCGCGTCATCTGCATAAAGTTGTTTATATCCCACTTCAGGGTTTGTATAAAACTCTTTCCATCTCATATTTGCATACCATGGTGGCAAACCTAACGCAGCGTCATTTGACATGGCAGTTTGCATTTGTACATCTGTTGGCACTTGACCATAGTTTGCCATTGCAGTTTGTATTCTAACTTCATTTGGAATATTCTCTGGGTTTGGTTGTCCAGGTTGCTGTGCATTCGCTAAGTTCTGTGCGTCCATTTAATATTAGATAAAAATATCTCTTACGAGTACATATGCTGAACATTTGCAGGCATTGGTTCATCTTCATATTCTCTGTACTTTTCTGCCACGTCAAATAAATAAATGACACAATGGAAAAAACCTAAAACAAGTAGTCCTATTTCAAACCACATTTACTTACTAATAAAATTTCTTTATTGTGACACTTTCTCCGGTTTATAGGACCTCTCTCATATTCTATCTTGTCATATATAAACTCATAGTCATGTATGTCCTCTAACCATCTCATAACGGTTTCCAAACCACTTTTATCGGATGTAAAGTAAAAGCATGGATGGTTATGTATAACGTCTAAAGTTTCTAAAGAGTCTCTCAAAGTCCAGTCTACTTGGTATTGAAAATCCATGTGTTATAGAACGGCGGTCCACTATAAAGAAAACATTTTCCTTGTCTTTATATTTTTCATACAACTCTGTCCAATGACATCTCACAAACTCTATACCCTCAATATATTTTTCTATGTCCTCTTTGAAAACATTTGTATAGTTAAGATATAAAACTTTTGACATAAGTGTTTCAATGTCATGAACTCTTATAGCACCACTATATAATAGTCTAGCAGATATACTATCCCAGTCTATATATTCTGCTTTTTTCAAAACCTCTCTCACAATATTTTTCTTATCTAATGGTATACGTTCCATCTTACCTATAGGTATCTTTTCTTTTAACTCTTTCAATATATTGTTTGTGTCTGGAATATGTTTGAGACGGTCCATATAGTTGTCGAAGTCATTGCATATAATCTTTGAGTCTGGGAATATTGTATGGCACAAATGGGATATATAGAAACTTCCACCGAACAAATCTACAAATGTTAGACCATTCGGTAGTTTCTTAAGTTCTCTCAATATAATATCTTTACATCTACTCTTATTTTCAAAGAACGGTAACGGTGGTTTTGTAAAATTCATTTATATATAATAATAAAAATGTTCTTACTCGAAAAGTGACAGAAAAGTGACAAAACACGAAAACATATATAATTTGTGAAAAGTGAAACAAAAGTGACATATTAAAAAGTGACACCATTAATATGATGTAAATAACAACGGTTTTGGTTTTGTCACCGGCTGGTCGGCTGGGGTTCGGTCCTCCTCTTGGGTCTTGGGCAAAATTTCTTAGGGGCTAGAAGGGGCGCAGCCCCTGGAAGCCCCACTTACCTGACCTAATATTCCCACTCATTATATTCGTAAATTTTGAGGTTTATCCTTCGCTTTTAAGATCATTGAATTTGATTTTTATATAAAATAGTTATATATTAGAAAATAATATGAGTTTATATGATATTATTTTTCAGAAGATTTCATTCTATATGCCTATGAAAAGTACTCTCAAAACTAACTTTTTCCTAATTATAATTAAATCTAGAATATTGTATTATGCTTAGTATTATTTCATTTTTCTCATTCAATTTAGAATTTACAAATGTCAAAAAATTGAGAGCTGTCACTTTTGATGAATTTCTGTTTATTACAGAATCTTTCAGATTGATTATAAAGCAATTGATTGGTACTTATTTAAAATTCAAGCTTTTGGTAAATTTTCAAAAATTCAAAAATATCAAATCGAAATTATATCAAAATTTTCCTTAAACCGTAAGAAAACTTTGCATGATAATATGGTTTATAATTTTAAAATAGATTATATTTATTTTTATAAAAGTAGAAAGAGTAGGGGTAATTTTAGCTAAATATTCCCTGAGAATGGTTGCGCATTCTCAGTTCCCTCTATATTTCGAACGAAGCTCTCATCGGTCTTTTTTTTAATACTAAACGTTTTTTCCCCTGTCACTTTTAGCTAAAATTTGGGTTTGCCAAAGTAGAAATAAGTATTAAAGGACTTTTTACGGAACGTTTTCTCTAACTGATCTATATTGAGATGGTATTTGATAATCCGGTTTCGTCAGGAACCAATCAAATCTGAATTTTTACAAAATTGAAGAAAAATGCAAAATTGATCACAAAACTTGTTGCATTGTCTCATACTAAATCAAATTCAACAACCAATAATTTCATACGTCAAACAATTATTTTGTTTCTCTCAAAAATTTAACATTTGATAATATTTTGTAAAATTCATAGCAACGTTTCACTCTTATCAAACTGGCAACCAACAGATGACTAATTTTGAGAACACTAAGGACTAGATCTAATTCAGGATTTATATTCACTTAATTGTAGGATCATCGTTTGATAATATTAATTTGAATGAAAATCAAACAATCATAGGTTTATTGTTAGATGGTTGATGAATATTAATAATGTTAAATCGAGTTTAATTGGAATGTTTAAAATTGAATAGTATTCAATAAGAAGGTTATGGTTGAATTAGAAATGAGTTCTATTAAGAATATGTATCCTTTACAGTATAAATAAAGGCATTTTTATTTTTTTCGGATAACATTTGCGAGCTTTGGTCCTCAATTCACTTTTTGTCAGGCATGAACAATTAGCATTATACATAGCATTTAGTAAGATTTTTTTACTTAAGTGGTCTTTCTACGAAAATCTGCTTCCATAGTCCTTATCCTAGTGTTGGGTCCATTATAATTTTTACATTATTTCGGTTTTATTCAATCTTGTTTTCTGTCGTCTCTTTTTTTGAGAGAAAACGTGACTGTGCTTTTCGGTTATTTAAGTTTCAATTCTGCTTGCCTTCTAATGCATCTTAATTATGTATATGGCATTGGATACTTCCATAGACTTCATCCCAAATCGAAGTTTAGTGTTGAAGAAGACGTCAAGCTCAAGAAAATTGTTGAAGAGCTGGGCTCAACTAACTGGAATCTTGTTGCGAATAAAATGCAGACAAGGAATGCGCGTCAGTGCAGGGACCGCTGGGAAAATTATCTTTCCCCTACACTTAATCGTGATCCATTCACGCTCGAAGAAGATTTAATTATTTTGCAAAAATATAATGAATTTGGTGCTAAGTGGGTCAACATTTCCAAATTCCTTGTAAATAGAACAGATATAAGCGTAAAAAGTAGATGGATGATGTTGAAGCGCAGAAACATCACAGCTGAGTCAGTTCAAGAAGCAATTGAGAAGGAAGCAGCCGGACAAGAAAAGGCTCTTGAAGAAGAACATAGAGATAGGCAGGAGAACATTGATGAGGTCATCACAAGATTATTTGAAATGAGTGAGATGGAAGAATCTACATTTTGGGAAAACTTGCTCTCAGAATCAACCATCCCTTTCGAAATGTGACCTGTCAGTCCTAATTTTTAGTGATTGCCCTTCCTATTGTTATTTTCTGAACGATTTGAATTTTGGCATTCCCAATGAGGTCAGGTGAGTGGGGCTTCCAGGCGCGTTGCGCCCTCTAGCCCATAAGAAATTTTGCCCAAGACCCAAGAGGAGGACCGAACCCCAGCCGACCAGCCGGTGACAAAACCAAAACCGTTGTTATTTACATCATATTAATGGTGTCACTTTTTAATATGTCACTTTTGTTTCACTTTTCACAAATTATATATGTTTTCGTGTTTTGTCACTTTTCTGTCACTTTTCGAGTAAGAACATTTTTATTATTATATATAAATGAATTTTACAAAACCACCGTTACCGTTCTTTGAAAATAAGAGTAGATGTAAAGATATTATATTGAGAGAACTTAAGAAACTACCGAATGGTCTAACATTTGTAGATTTGTTCGGTGGAAGTTTCTATATATCCCATTTGTGCCATACAATATTCCCAGACTCAAAGATTATATGCAATGACTTCGACAACTATATGGACCGTCTCAAACATATTCCAGACACAAACAATATATTGAAAGAGTTAAAAGAAAAGATACCTATAGGTAAGATGGAACGTATACCATTAGATAAGAAAAATATTGTGAGAGAGGTTTTGAAAAAAGCAGAATATATAGACTGGGATAGTATATCTGCTAGATTATTATATAGTGGTGCTATAAGAGTTCATGACATTGAAACACTTATGTCAAAAGTTTTATATCTTAACTATACAAATGTTTTCAAAGAGGACATAGAAAAATATATTGAGGGTATAGAGTTTGTGAGATGTCATTGGACAGAGTTGTATGAAAAATATAAAGACAAGGAAAATGTTTTCTTTATAGTGGACCCGCCGTTCTATAACACATGGGATTTTCAATACAAGTAGACTGGACTTTGAGAGACTCTTTAGAAACTTTAGACGTTATACATAACCATCCATGCTTTTACTTTACATCCGATAAAAGTGGTTTGGAAACCGTTATGAGATGGTTAGAGGACATACATGACTATGAGTTTATATATGACAAGATAGAATATGAGAGAGGTCCTATAAACCGGAGAAAGTGTCACAATAAAGAAATTTTATTAGTAAGTAAATGTGGTTTGAAATAGGACTACTTGTTTTAGGTTTTTTCCATTGTGTCATTTATTTATTTGACGTGGCAGAAAAGTACAGAGAATATGAAGATGAACCAATGCCTGCAAATGTTCAGCATATGTACTCGTAAGAGATATTTTTATCTAATATTAAATGGACGCACAGAACTTAGCGAATGCACAGCAACCTGGACAACCAAACCCAGAGAATATTCCAAATGAAGTTAGAATACAAACTGCAATGGCAAACTATGGTCAAGTGCCAACAGATGTACAAATGCAAACTGCCATGTCAAATGACGCTGCGTTAGGTTTGCCACCATGGTATGCAAATATGAGATGGAAAGAGTTTTATACAAACCCTGAAGTGGGATATAAACAACTTTATGCAGATGACGCGAACACAGGAGTTGACCCAGAATATGTTTTCTACCAGAGGAGAAACAGAATGTATGAGCTCCAGTTAAAGAATGCTATGGAACTCAACAGGAAACGTAAGAGACTAGGCGGATATTAGATTTTTACATATAGTAAAATGGGTTTCTTCAGTAGTATTGGAAACTTCTTCAGAAGAGTTGGAAGAGGTATATGGAATGGAATAAAAACCGTAGGAAGAGGAATTTGGAACGGAGTCAAAAATATTGGTAAAAGAGTAGGTCAGTTCGTTGGTATTATACCTAAAGACCCTGAACCAGAAGAACAAGCTCCTGTTATACAACAGCCTGAACCTGCACCACAGTCTAGTTGGCAACCAAATCCAACACCTCAACCGTATTAAAAAATTATATTTTTATCGTTCGATAGTAGTTGTATATGAAACTAAGTTCTAAGTAAAACGCATGGTATAATGGAATTATTCTTTTTCTTCCATCTGTAGTAAACCATACTTGAAAGTCTGAAATACTTCCACTTGGTGGTTCGTATAACTTTGTAGGTTTTTCGTAAAAGTCATTTGCCAAGCATAAGAAAGAGTTTTGGGCGCCAGAAAATGAAGCATGAACAATAATAGCATCTGGGTCGAAAACATTTTCATATGTTCCATTAGGGTTTTCGACTTCATAATAGTCCGGGTGTACTGGATATGCTGCAGGCTGATTTAACATCCTCATAAATCTATACCATGCCAAGTTGTTATATTTTGTAGAAATATAAACGTTTTCTCCAAGGTCTGTTTCGTACAGAAATGGATAACAAAAAAGTGATAGAAAACCTTAAATTGCGCGGCAATTTTAATTAAAAAAATAAACATTAATTTTTGTGATTGATATTATGCATTTTATTTATATTATATAAGATTTAAATTTAGGGGAAAATTGGAAAAAAAAATAAGATTGGAAGTCTTTAGGTAAGAAGGAAAGGGCAAGAGATATATAGTGTACCTATATACCTCTTGCCCTTTCATTCTAAGTAGAAATGGGAGAAAACTTTGTCCGCATCATAAGTTATGCGGACAAAGTTTCTCCGATTTCTAATGGGAATTGCAGGCTATGAGGCACTGATATATAATCAGTACCTCATAGCCTACAATTCCCCTTATTAGACTTCCAAACTTTGAGTTAATGTCTTGACATTAACTCAAAGTTTGGAAAACTTCTCGTAAGAATCAATCGTCAAAAACCTCAATTGCAGTTATATTCATTGTGTTAAATTTGATTTATTTTGAAATTTTTATAAATTAAATTTTATATAACATAAAGCGTTATGAATTAGTATTTCCATATGAATTTATCTCGAAAATAGTAATTCTGTACAGTTATATTTCGGTTAATTTTGGAAATTTCTAGGAATACTTTAAGATAGTATGATTTATATAACTCTGCCTTCATGATTTATTTTAGCTTTCGCGCAAATATCAGTTAACTTAACTCCATTATTTGATTTTGTGATGGCTTACAAAGCAATCAATATCTCTCTTCTGGAGAATGTCTTCTCATCTAGAATATTTTCAATACTTTACATACAAACATTTTTATTTCTAAAAAACTTTTTAATTTTTTCTAGGATATATGAATGAAAATAGTTAGAACAAGATTTTGAAGCTCAAAACATTAAAAATTATTAAAGATTTGTATAATATGATTAAAAATGGGAAATAATATGAGGCAATATAAAGGAATATGAATATTAAATAAATATATCTAAATAGAAAGAATCAGAAAAATCAAATTATTGGCGCCAAAAATGTCACCTTTTTGGTGAGCCATTTCGGTATGAGATACGTTTTCTCCAAGGTCTTCTATTTTATTGATTTTAACAGTTGCATTTTTCCTGTCATAAATAATATCGAGATGGTATTCTCCTTCGTCAATGTTAAACTGGTTTGCATATTCAATATAGATATCGTTTATTTTTTCTTGAAAAGCTTGAAGAGTTGTTTCTAAGTTTATAAGCAAACTAACTTGTAAAAGTTTTCCCTGTTCAAATTTCTCATACATACGTTTTTCTTTGTTATAGTATCGAACTTCAAAACCGACCGTAAATGGGAAACCATGTATGGCTTCTGAAATGAACTTTATTCTTCGAAAGCCAATAGCTTTTGTGACAGATGGGTCTCTTAGCCATCTTAATGGGTAGTCAAAACGATAGCCTTCATGCTTTACGGTATCTGTCTCAAACTTTTGACCGACATTAGTAAAAAGTTCATCTAATGGTTTAGTTGTAGCAACTCTAGAATTTTCTTTTTCTATTGGAAGCATATTTTATCTATAATAAAAATGTCAAATGAAACAGCGTCTATGCGAGAAATACAACACAACCGACAACTCATTATGCAAGCTCTAAATAAGAACACAACAAACTTTTCAAACTATTCTAAGATATCTGAAACTTTAAAGGATGGAAACTTAAAACTGACATTAAACCTTATAACAGATGAGTTTCTATTTCAAGACAATAAGAACAATACTGTCTGTATAAATCCAACAAAAGGAACTTTAAACGAGAAACCTATAAATGAACTTCTTTTGAAAGCAGATGTTGACAACAAAGCTGACAAAGAATATGTAGACGATGCAATAGCAAAAGAAGAAGAAAGAGCTAACAATGCTTATGCAACAAAAGAACATACTCATCCTGAACTAGCAGACAAAACATATGTTGACAATAAAATGTCAAGTGAAGTGACAAGAGCTGAAAACGAATATTCTAAAAAGACTCATATACATTATATTAACCAAATACCAAGTCTTAAGGAAACATTAGAGACAAAAGCAGATAAGACTCATACACATTCTATATCTGATATTACAAACTTACAAGAAACCTTAAACAGGAAAAGTGACGTTGGACATACACATACCATTGCAAATATTACAAACTTACAAGAAACCTTAAACAGGAAAAGTGCCGTTGGACATACACATACCATTGCAAATATTACAAACTTACAAGAAACCTTAAACAGGAAAAGTGACGTTGGACATACACATACCATTGCAAATATTACAAACTTACAAGAAACCTTAAACAGGAAAAGTGCCGTTGGACATACACATTCTATATCTGAAATAACAGACTTAAACGTTAGCCTTGAAAAGAAAGCAGATAAAACATATGTCAATGAAATATACCAAAGTTTGATAGGAACAAAAAATATAGGGTGTCCAAAGGTGTGTTTAGCACAAACCTGAATACTGCGAATAGAAATAAACAAGTTACATATATATAAAGTTTATTTAAATATAATCACCATTGGATTCAATCACGCGTTCGCAGCGATCGATCCAGGCTTGAAAGACACGCTTTAAATCATCATGAGAAAATTGCTCAAATTGCTCTCTTACAAAATTTTCAAGATCATCAGGACTCGCGAATTCGCGTCTTCAGCTTCTTTTTTAGCGTGCCGAATAATAAAAGTCAGAGGGTGCAATATCAGGTGAATAAATTGGGTTTGGAACAACTTTGACATTGTTTTCCACCAAGTAATTCATTACCTTATGACTTTTGTGAACTCTTGAATTATCAAAATGAATTGCAAACTTTTGTTTTTGTTGTTTGGATTTCTCAAACTCATCAGAATTGATAATTTGAGTAAGAACATTGTCAATTAGATACTGAGCATTCATCATATTAGGTTTTTGAAGAATATCAATTGCGATGATGCCATTCACGCCCAAAAAACCGACAACATCATCATTGGTGTGTCAATTTTTTTCTTCGGGAATGTTTGCGGATTTTCATCCTTCGGGATCCACATGGTTTTGGCTTCTGTTGCATATTGAAACCAAGACTCGTCCCTGTTACTAAAAAGCGAAACTTCTTGGATTGATACGCACGCAATATAGAGAGGAGCTCTTTCGAAGATTGGACTCTAGATTTTTTTTGAACTGAATTAAGGTTGTGCGGAACCCAACGTGTATACGCTAGTTTGTAGTTCAAATAATTGTGCAGATAATAACTGACTGTTGTACGTGGTATCTTTGTCATCTCCTCTATCCTTCTGAGTGATGCTCTTGGGTCTTCATCTAGCGCTTGAAGAATTGCTTTGATTTTTCTTTGATCCGGCGATTTTTTGTCAATTTTTATGATGGGCGCCTTTTTGTTCATGAAGTGATACATCCTAACATGATACGTTACAGTGGAATAGCTAGGAGCATCCATACCGAAGCATTTTACAATGTCTCGTAGATTTTTTTACAGTCTTTGCATTTTTTTGCAAGAGCGAGGATGTTTTCTTTATGATTCATTAAAAAAATGAAAAAAATCCCGCCAAAATTTCCCGCGAAACCGCCTCTTGTCTCAAAATTTATTTTATATCCCGGCATGGCGCCAAAATACAACATACTCATCATATACATATATTCATATTTTTTATTATATATTTATAATCAGCATATATCTCCTTTAATAGTCTCATATAGAGCGCTGTGCTAAACGCACCTTTGGACACCCTATATTGAAACTATTGTTGGTGACTTTTCTGTCAATGAAGAAAATAAATATTTTAGATGGCAGTTGGTACAGTCCTTAAAAAATGGTACACGGTGTAAACTCATTCCGAAAAATAACAATGAAATGTATGTAAGCTATAAAAAGAACGATGGTACACAAGTTAAAGTTCCATTAGACAACAACTGCTACTTAAACTTATATGGAGACGAACAAAAGAAATATTTCCGAGTTTATGAAATGACAGATATGACATTGCCTGACCCAGCTCCAGCACCATACTATTATGACTATGGAGTTGATGTCAGAACACTACACACAAATGAACAAAAGCAAATATTATATTTAGAATATTATAGATATAAAAGATATAATGCAATAGAAAAAACGAGAATAGTATACTATTATATAGATGACAGAAATAAATATTATAGTCAAGACTTTACCTACCCTGAAAACATAAGATTATATTATAAAAAATATTCTGACACAAACCAGAAGAAACCTGAAATAGTTGCACTATATTTTAAGTTCAAAAGAGACAATCCTATAATGTCTCATATGTTTGATTTAATGAACCCAGTAGGTTCTATTTATACATCTATGGATGCAAGAGGTCCTCAAGTAATGTTTGGTGTTGGTGCATGGGAACAAATAGTCGACAGGTTTTTGTATTGTGCAAACTCTTCAAAGGAAACAGGTGGAAGTAAAACGATTTCAGGTGAAAATTTACCTGCACACAGTCACTACATAGATTTAAGTACATCTCAAGCAGGTTGGCATAAGCATAGATATTGGGATTGGTCAGGAATGACAAAAGGTAAAGGATATGATGTTAAAGACGACGTTAAGTTTGCTATAAATTGTTACTGGAGTGACACGCAGGGAGAAGGAAACCATACACATTTCGTTTCAGGATATACACAAACAACGGGACAAAGTAAAGAATACATGCCACCTTACATGACAGTTTACGCATGGTATAGAATTGCTTAGTCGTCATTTTCAACTTCTTTAGCATATTCGTCAGGAGTTGTCTTATATTTGTTAGGAACTGTCTTTGAAAGTATACCACCTTGAACTTTGACAAGTTTGAAACGAGGTCTGACAATAGTAGTTTTATCTTCTGCTTGCAGTGTGTACATTTTGCCATGTTTGCCTAAAACTTCATAATATTCTCTTGTATACTTTCTTCTATTTTTACGAACACGAATGTGAGTACCTGTCGAGTTCCCATTGTTGTCATAGTCAATAGTATTTTCATATGGGTCGCGTTTAGGTATTTCTATTTTTACTTTGTCACCTTTCTGAAGTTTGAAGCCCGGCATTCTTTCTTGTTTGTCTCTTTTGACTAAATTATTAAATATATAGTCTTTCTCTAAGTCAGGGTTGTTTTTCATTTCTTCGGGGGAGTGGTTTCCCAAACCTTTTTGTTTACGGTTATTGTAAATATTTAAAACTTGTCTCATCTTTGCCATGGAGAAGTGTCTATACTTGTCGTCATATGACATTTCATTTGCTTCACCACCTTGTGGTTGGTTTAAGTCTCTTAACATTTTTATACATCCGTCAATGACACCAAGAGCAGAATGGTTTTGGTCGACAATGAAATATTGGTTTACATTTTTTGAACGCAGATAGTTTTTTACATCATCTGATTTGAAAGAACTTTCACAGTCAGATGTCAGTTTTGTTGGATGGTATTTGTCAACGAATATTGTCAAAGCAGTTTTCACATCTAAAATATTTTTGGACCATAATGGTATGGCTTCACAGTATCTTGTGTTTTGACCAACAAATATTAACCAGTATGGTGGTCCATCTGTTCTAACTCTCGGAATGTTTTCCAAGATATCCATAAACCAAGCATTTGGTGTTGAACTAAAGATTTTTATCATGAGTGCTTTCTTTGTCGCTTTAGAAACATAGGGGTCCTTGTTTGGATTCGTCATTTTTTACCCTGTAAGAAATGGGTTTATTTGGCGCATTAGCAGGAGTTGCATCCAGATTTTTGCCCGCAGTGGGAACAATAGCCAGAGGTGTATTTGGAGTTGGAAGGAAGATTTTGAGTACATTAGGTATACTTAAAGAGAAAGCACAACCTATTATACAAACTGTACAGAAAGGTTGGGATGTAGCACGAGATGCAACAAATCTTATTCCAAATCCTGAAACAAGAGGAAAAGTTCAAGGATGGATGGACAATGTAGGAAGACAAGCAGGAAACTATTATAACAAAGCAAATGACTACTATAACCAAGCAGGACACTATATGGACCAAGGTGAAAGATTCTTTAACAGAGGATATAACCATGCACAACAGTGGGTAAACAATAACCAACCGCAACCACCTCAAACGTGGGGAATGTAAAGTTTTTTATTGAGATGAAATGAACAATGCAGCTTTAAACAGAATAAGTCATGGAAGACCACCTTTTACACCACGTGTTTGTAAAGTTCTTCCTATACCTCAGGAAGTTTTAGACCGACTTAAAAAACCTAAACAACCAGTTGAAAACAAACCAAACTAAATTTTTTACTCAGATGAAATGACCGAAGAAGTTGAAACGGTAGATTTGACACCACAAACAAAAAGTTCAGAACCATTGTCAAAACCTGTCAAAGAACTTACAGATGAAGAGAAAAATTCAATAATAGAAAGTGCCAGGTCTGGAAATACAAACCCTAACTATAAAGTCACTTTTCATAGAAATGGAACGGCTAGTATCTCAAAAAAGAAACAGACTCTCACAAATAAAATATTGAAGTCTGAAGGAGCTTTCGAGACAACAGATGGAAAAGTTTACTTCACTGACCAACAGTTCATTATAGAACATCTCATTGACTTAGAGTCGAAATATTCTAAACTTTACAACAAACACAAAAAGTTGAAAGGAAAACAAAAACAAATGGCATATGATATTTATGAAGATGTTGACGACACAACTGTTCCTGCAAGTGAAGTAAAGTCAGAGGAACCGAAAAGTGACGAAAAACCGATAGAAGAAGAAAAACCAAAAACTGAAGATAAACCAAAACCAAAGTTTAGTTTCCAAACTAAACCAAGTCAACCTTCATTAGCTGGTATGGGTTGGCGTCAAAGACTTATGGCAGCAGGCGGTTATGTAAAGTAAAGAAAAAAATATTTTTTTTTTTTATAAAAATGCCCCCATATAGAATGGATAGAAAGTCTGCTAGAATAAAAGCAGAGTTACAAAGATATGGTTGGAGAGTTTCGAAGAATTTTAAATATAGGAAGGGAAGACCCATAAAAGTCTATGACAAATTGTCTGGTCTTCGCTACGAAATGGATTTGGAAACAGCACGTGCCAATTATCCAAACAGACTAGAGAGGTTAGAAGAAGAACGTCTTATGGACATGCCTTTCGATGTTAGTGAACCTCAAGTTGAAGGACACGACGGCTTTGCCAGATTCTACTGGAAACATGACGAACAATTGCATCCTTTGAGAAGGAAAAAAGGAAAAAGTGAAGACGCACATGCTCCCATGGAAAGAACAAGATATGCATATGAAAAGTATCGTGAAGTTAGAAGTCAAATTACATCTGGTCGAACCTTTACAGTAAACTTTGACGAAGGAAAGAACAAAGAAGGCTTCATGGGTGTACTTGCTGCAATTCAAGACGGAAATAAGAAAGGACACAATCTCAGATTGACCATAACAGATTTGGATGGTCACATTTACTATGCACATGGCAATGAACAAACAGCCGCAAAACTTCTTGACGCTTTCAAGACTACAAAGAGAGAACAAATGGTTGACTCCGACTCAGACATTTTGAATGCAATTGAAGGAATTGCAAGTGTCAAGTTCGAATGGTACCAACCTAACCCGCAAGCAGTCAGACAACATGCTGGATACTTCCCCTTCATAAATAAGTCTGACATTGACTTGACAAGGTATGGAATTTACAATTCAATTGAAACAATTGTCAATGAACCTTGCATTCTTACATGTCTCAGGAACTCTGGTCTTGTTACAGATGAGAAGATGAAGTATCTTGAGTCATGTGTGAAGACAAGGTACATTCTCAGAGGTCAATTGGCAAAAATTGCACCGTTGGCAAATGTCAATATCCGAGTCAACATACCTACAGCTAAAGGTTCTTCACATGACGACTATGTTGTTGACAAAGACTTACCATGGTTGAAGATTGTAATTGTCCACAACCACTTCATGTTGAACGAAAGTCTTACAAACCCATTCTTTGGTAAAAGTAAGTGCAACATTGTCAGAGCTGTAAACATTCTTTTCGAGAAAGGTTTGTTGGAACCAATTCCAGATGACAAGCTTACAGAAAGTTTTGTACCAAAAGACGAAACAAACTTTTCATTGTTAGCAAGACCAAAAGTTGTTCCAGACAAAGTTCTAGTACAAAAGAAGTACACAGTTCCACAAGGGGTTGGTATGTTCGGATACCAACCTGAACCAGAAGAACTTCCAATGAGGTTGCAAGAACTTCAAGATGCTATAAACAAACTTCCATTGAGACATCCAATTGACGTCAAATTGTATTGGAGAGCATCTGAGTTAGGTCAGAAGGTTTTATATGAAACAGGTTGCTTCGACGATGTTTATGAGATAACAGGAGAAGTTTCTCAGAAGATAAGAGACTCACTTGAATTTCCACAAACTGGACCAATTGGTTGCGACAAGTTCGACTCAGATGAAAAGATATACTATGTCGACCTTAACGCTGCATACATGAGGTTTGTAATATATTCCGACTGGAATTCCAAACGAAGATGGTGAGTTCCCGGGAAGGAACTATACAGTTGGAAAAGTCATACAACAACTGTATGATATTAGGAAAGCTTCAAACCCCAAACTTGCAATGACACTCAAATTGCTTATGAATTCGACACGGGGATATTCCATTAAGAAACCTCAAGAGATGAAGAGTAAACATTATGAGAAGGTCGACAACTTTGTTGAAAGGTTTTCTCCTTTTGTTTTGAAGTACGAATTCACTCAAGGTCAAAGTGGCTTAGTAACCACATTAAAACCTATTGTCGAACATTGGTCTTACCCTCAGTTCGCAAAGGCAGTACTTGACAACTACAACAAATTCTTCTCCGAAGTCAAATCCAAAGTCAAGGTTTACTATGAGAACATTGACGCACTCATGACGAACGAAGAAAGCTATAACAAACTCATTGAAATGGGTTTAGTCGGTGAAAAGATGGGCTGTTTTAAGCTAGATAAGGTATTTTCCGAAGTTCATGTCCTCTCCAAGCGTAAGTACTGGGGTGTTAAAGAAGATGGTGAAATAGTTAAACATTGCATGAAATAAAAACGTTTTTCAAAAAAGTGACATTTTTTAATGGCGTACATCCCTGAGCGCTTCGTCCAGTTCAACCAAATGTTGGTCTCGGTACCAGGCAAGAGATATTCCAGGCTCAAACTCAACCGTCTCTTCAAAGAATGGATTGAAGACTACAGAGGAGACGAGTGGTTGACAATTGAATTTGCTCGGGCTTGGAATTGCTACAGAAGGGTCTTAGACGTGGACCCAAGACTCACGTACAGAGGTTGGGATGTGGTCTTCACATTCCAAAATTGGTACCAATACCAAAAATAAAAACTTAAATTTACTTGGGGTTTCCCCCTAAAATAATTTTTTTTACTCTTAGAACCACTCGAGGTTCTCCTTACGGTTGTTGAGCTTGTCACCGTCAATGTGTCTGACCTTCGTCTTCTTGTCTGGATTTGGAACCCATTGAATTGCGACAAGCTTGCCCATGGAAATTGAACCGCGATTCCGAAGGTTAAGGTTCAAGTGTCTCAAGTTGTTGAGAACTGGGGTAAGAACCTTGCCGGTCTCCCTGTTGCGGATTTTGTATGGGTAGGGTTGGGAAATTTCGTAGGCGTCATCGGCAACAAGGGTTGCCCAAACTTCCTCTTCTTCGTGTTTCTCTTCTTCCTCTTCTTCTTTGATAATACCTTCTTCAATTTGGTACTCACGAAGTACGGTGTTGCATGTTCTGTCCTTTCCGAGTACCTTCCAGATGGCGTCTATCTCTTCGAAGAAACGGTAGATGAGTCTGGCAAGGTCTTGGTTCTCTCTCTCGTAATTGCGCAACGATTCTGAGAAATCGTTCAGGCATTTCTCATTGGAAGCTTGGTTCATGAGGACATCGGCTTTGAGATTGGTCATCTCTGTCATAAGACTACTTTGGAGAATCTTAATGGTGTTTGTCAGATGAGCTTTCAATTGGGCAATTTGAATTTGAATTGGGCGCTTGTCTGGCAACCTTGAAAGGACATCTGCCATTGTGTTCGGCTTCGGTGCTTGTTCGGACATCGAAAAAATGAAGTGGTTTGAGAATGACGGTTTTACTTCAAAAAGCTGGTTATGACAGTTAAGTCATACAACAAGTTTAAAATAATATCTTGCTCTTCTTCTGAACGTTTGTTGTCTCTTCCGATAAAAGTTTCGAACATGAGAACCAAAAAACGTTTTTTGAGGAACCGAAAGAGTTCAGGCAAATTTTCATATTCTGGATATGCTGGGAGCAGTTCAAAACATTGAGCTGACTTTCGGACAAAATTGGGACAATGTCAGAAAATTCATCTTTGGTCGGACTGCTTGAAGGTAAGTCCCTTACATGTAAGTAGCTCTGGTAAAGTCTTCTCATTCTGCTAACTTTGGAGTATAGCTTCGTAATTTAAGAGTTTTAATTGTCTTATTCCTCTCTTGACATCTAAACGGTAACTATCCATGAGGTCAAGGGTAGCTTTAGTTGCCTTAAGAGGAGCTATCTGTTCCTTGACTTCTGCAATTTTGGTTGCAATTGTGGTTTGAGCTCCTTCAAGTTCGCCGTCTATGTCGTTCTCAACACCTTCAACCATAGCTTGAAACTCTTCATCGGTCCATTGAGTTTGGTGTGGGACGAATTTAACTTGCTTCATTCAAAAAATGAAAAAAAATGTTTTTACTCTAAACGTGCCATATAGATGGCTATAAGAAACTTACCAGAAGGCTTCTTCTTCACATGAGTCTTTGGCAACTTGAGAGTTCTTGTTGGAGTTGGGTCTGGAATTTCAATTCTCTCTCGAGCGCAACAACAGATGTCAGAATAACATTCCCCACTGTCCTTCTTGCCACCATAAACTGTGTATTGACCGAACTTGCATTTGCAGGAAGACCGGTCACTACAAGGTTCACAGTTGAAATAGTTGTACTCATACCTGGTGAGTACGAGTGTGAGTAAAAACATAAAAAAGTGAGTTAAAATGAGATGTTTACTGAACTGGCTGAATGTCGCCTTCACAGGTTATGTAGAACGGCTGACCAGAGAAGTGAAGGAGACCCTTGAGAATTTGGTTCATTCTTGGGAAAGGGTTCTCTCTGTTTGGAAGTAGTATCCAAGGACGCTTGGCAAAGAACTTTATAATGGCTTCCTTCTTTGCTTGCTTTATGTCGTCGAAGGCTGTCCCGTCTGGTATTTGAATTGGAATTCCAGTCGAAATCTCGAGATTCAAGGCAGCCATTCCTGTTATCCAACCGTTAACAAGCTTGCCTTTTAGATTCTGCCTGAGGAAGTCTTTAACAAGCTCGTTAATTTCAATTAGGTAAATTGCCTCGTTGGTAGGTTCGACCTCGACCATTGCTACTGTCAGTAAAAGTACTGCTACTGTCAGTAAAAGTACTGCTACTGTCAGAAAAAGTACTGCTACTGTCAGTAAAAGTACTGCTACTGTCAGTAAAAAGGAAAATTTGAGAGGGTTTTCGACGATAAAGTACTGCTACTGTCAGTAAAAGTACTGCTACTGTCAGAAAAAGTACTGCTACTGTCAGTAGCAGTACTGCTAGTAGCAGAGATTTTTATCGTTGTGGTCCGACGGTTAAGCCACAAACGAATGTCCGACGTCCCACCAACCGAGTCCATTCCCAAACCAGAGGAACCTAAAGAACCACAACAGTCTCCTCAGCAACCTCAGTTCCAGCAAGTACCTCCGAATTACTACCAATTTCCACCTCAAGGTTACTACCCACCACAAGGCTTCCCGAACTACCCTCCTCAGCCTATGCCTTACTTCCCCAACCCTTGGTTGTTCCAGCAAGCTCCACCCCAGCAATTCCAATTCCAATCTCAGTCCAAGAGAGCCCAAGAGTTCGAAGAAGGTCTGAACCGCTTACGCAAAGAGTATGCTACAGCTCCAATGGAAGACGACAGGCTTTCAGTCTCTTCCCTCAAATCGACCGATTCGACTCGTACCACAGATTCGGCTCGTGACCGTGAAGACTACCTCAAGCAGTCTGAGAGACTCTTCATCTTACAGCCATTTACAGTTGGAGCTCTCAAGAACATGCGCAATTACGAAGGTCAGACACCAGCTGGAGACCGCAAAACAGACGTACTCGCAAGAGCCGTCCAGCTCGTCAAAACAAAGACGGAGATAATCGACTTCATACTTGCAGCTTGCCCATACAAGTAAAAAAATATACAATTACGAATTAAACTTTTTACTCTTTCTTTTCTGAGTTGTTTAGAGCTGGTTTCTCTTGTAGAAACCTTTCATACTCTTCCATGGTCATGTAATTGCGAATTTGGTACGCAATTCCAGGTTCGTTGTTTTTGAACCTTACGTATGTAACGCTTCCATCCTCCTCAGGAAAGTAAGCTGCTAACATCTGACCAAGTTTTCTCGGTGACTCGGAGCTCATAAAAATGTCACCTTTTAAACGTTAAGTTTTTAGTCTTAATTTACCCTTTGTTTGTCAAGGTAGTATTGGAGTGCAATTTCTCCAAATTCTCTGTGTCGGAGTTCTTCAGCATTTTCCAAGGTGTACCTGGAGAACTCAAAGAAGTTGTCAAGAACATACTGCCATGCTGCTCTTCTGAGTTCGTCGGTATTTTGGAAGTGTTGCACCTTCGAGTTTTCGGACATGAAAAAAATGACACTTTTTCTATTAAACCGTTTTGGCATTTCTCATGAGTGAGTATAGTTCTGCCGAACCATTGGAAGAGAAGAAGTACCCTTGCTGGCAAAAGACAAAAATAGTTGCCTTAGTTGTCATTGCAATTGTACTCGTAATTGAATTCATTGTACTTCTCTTCACGTACCTAAAACTCAGCAATGGTATTTGCTTTAAGAAGCTACCATCTTACTAAGACTAAACACTTAGATTTTTCAAGCTTGACTTTTTACAATTTGAACTTTGTTTGCGTAGATATGAATTCTGAAAGAAGTATGAGGGTCTTGTATGACTTTGTACTTCTCCCATAGTTCATGTCTGTCAAACTTACCTGCCATGGACTCTTTCATAAGTTCCATGAAATCGTCTTCGGACAATCCGGGGAAAAGTATTATGTCAGTAAGTATTCTCTTTACATCCTTACTTAAACTCTTTGCTGTCTGTACACATATTACGACTGAGATGTTAAAGTGTCTGAGCTTCTTAAGAATTCGACACATATCTTGTTCTCTGTTCTTTAACAAAGGATGAGAGGCGAAATCATCTAAGATAAGAAGACACCTATGAGGGTACGTTTTCCAATCGTAAGATTGCAATTTCTTCGAAATGTATTCTATCTCTTTCTGTTTGTTTCTGAAGTGGTGTTTGTCTAATATTCTCTGCATTTCCTCATTAGGTTCTTTAAACTTCGAATTGACATACTCATTTATAGCATTATACTTCAAAACTCTTCTTTGGTACTTCTTTATCCAATCTAACAACTCAGTATCCTTTATACATACTAACTTAGACTTCTTTATAATATCTTTGAACGAATTGACGGTTTGGTCAAATTGACCAGAAGTCGAACAAATAACAACTAACTCATAGAATGAGTTCTTCTCATCTAGTTCTTGTTGTTGTGCAGCCATTTTAAGATAAGTGAAAGTCTTACCCGACCCAGGTGGTGCAATTAGACCTGTTATACCATTCTGAGCAAATAAGAACTTTTCATGTATAGGCTTTATCTGAGCATTTTCTAACTTCCTCTTGTTCTTGTTTAAAACATTCTCAAATTTCTTGTCAATGTCAGCAAACTTTTTTTCTAACATATTTTTAGAAAAATTAAAATTTTTATCTTTTAGAAAATGTCTAGCGATTTCGCTATCTATATTCGAGACAAACTTTTTGACAGCAAAACATCTGTCGACCATAAAATCTTACATAGTGTAAACAAGAAAGGTGAATTTGTTCTAAAGTTCTGTTTCTGGGAATATGACAAGAACCATAAAACATTACAAAGAGCAGTCTTAAAATTTGTCAATGACAGACTTGTTGACAGAGATGACGCCGATTGGAAAGATGAAGTCCAACAAAACTTCTTAGAATGCAAAGAAGACACATGCGCTGTTCTTGAAGATGAAATAGAAAACAGAATAGATGAGCTATTAAAGGACAAAGAACTTTTACAGAAATATGGTTCGGAGAAATTTGACATATCTCCACCAGAGAAGAAGAAGAAAGAAAAGAAAGAGAAAAAAGTAGAAGAGAAGAAAGAACCTGAACCAGTTCCAGAGAAAAAGAAATTTGACATGTAAAAATAAAATTTTATTTTTAGAACATTTCTGGGTCAATGTCAATGTTCTCTTCCTCTTTAGGAGTAAACACTGGCTTAGACTCTAATAGCTTTTTACCCAATTTACCTTGAACTTCTACAACTTTAGACTCATAATATTCATAGTCATCTGTCTTCTTTGGTTCATAAGGTATAACAAGTTTGTATGCTTTGCCTTCTTTAAGGTTTGAGAACCTTCTGTCAAAACTTTCTTTGACTGTTAACAAACCTTCTTTGTCTAAGTCTTCAAATTTCGCACCATTTTTAGTCACAATAGCAAACTTAACTGGTTCGATGTTCCAAACTTTGCTGAATGAAGACTTTTCAAAATGGTAGAAGTAAACATTCAAATATGTGAATGGGTCTAGTTCTTCTTTAAGTCCTGACATGTACTTGTTTACTGAAATATATTTCGTCATCTTTTCTATCGGATAAAAAAATATTTTTTTTAAATTTACTCAGAAAAAATTTTCTTTGTATATACACCATTCTGAACATCTAAAAGACTTTTGACATTTGCCAAGAATGTACGTTTAGAAGCTGCCATATAACCATATTCTTGACAATATTGTTTATATTCATCATATAAAGACCTTTCATCTAAACACTCAAAGTCAGTTTCATCTACGAACAGTTCATATACACTCTTGTTTGCTTCTAACAATGTTTGTCTCTCTTCGGTATGTGGAATTTGTCTTGGATTGAACTTAGAAATATCTAATGTCATGAAATATGAGAACAAGTGGTTGTAAAAGTCAGATGTCAAAGTTTCTGCTAAGTCGTCAAAATATTCTGTATCTTGAATATGAGCTTCTGACGTTCTAACAACTACATATCTTCTGTCAGAACTTTCTAACTTCATCGGAACAGCATTGTTTGAAACCATAATGAAGTTTGCAACATTTTCACAAACTCTTTGGTCTTTATACTTTCTTTCAACAACTCCAACTTTGTCTGTTATAAGACTCTTCAAAGCATCTGAGTTCAAAACTTTTGTTGTATCTATACTTTGAAGTTCATTGCAAACTATAAGTTTCATATTCTCAATTGAAGAGTTAAACTTGCCACAGATGTTTTCTAAGTTTGTCATATTCGGATTCGAATAACCTTCTAACAGTTTGCACAAAATATCTGTAAAGAATGTGTTCTTACCTGTTCCTTGTTTTCCAATTATAATGAGAGCAGTTTCATTTTTAGCACTTGGATGTTGTAAGATGTTTGCAAACCAACATAAGATATACTCATAAACCTTTTCGTTTCCATTGCATATAATTTCTTTGACATGGTCTAACCAAGCTTCTATAATATTTTCTTTCCATTCAACTTGTTCATATTTATATCCAGTGAAGATAGAATAGAAGTTTGGAGAAGGTGTATAAAACTTTATACCTCGAACTGAAAAATCTTCTAACTTTGACAATAAGATATCCCAAGCATCTAACATCTTCATTCCAACTTGTACAACTTTTATTTTCTTAAGTTTCTGTCTACATTCTTGTTCAGACACTATTGTTGCTCTTGGTTTGTTAAAGACAACATCCCATTCTTTCATGACATAACATTCTGGGGCAGAGTCAACATAAATGACTAAACGTTTCAAATTCTCGACTGCTTTCTTATAGTCTCGAAATGGACACATATTTCTGAATGCTTGGAAGTCATAAAAATCTGAAACATCTATTCTGTACATTTTTATAAAAATAAAAAAAATAATTTTTTTATTCTTGACTTTGTTGTTCCATTTGTTGCATTTGTTGTTCTTGAGCTATTTGTTGTTGAAGTTGTTCTTGTAATACAATACTTTCACCGGTTGCATCTTCCAATTCTATACTTTCTGCTGTCATAGAAATATACATAGGACATAAAAGTTTTACGGGAACAAAGTTTGCGTCAACTAAGGTTAAGTTTATGTTTGCTAAAGTGTTTGAGTTTACTAAAGCTGAAAACTCTGCATTCGAATGAACAATAGGCAAACCA